GATGCCTACTTATCTGAAAAAGACTATCATGTGGTACATACTTTTGTATTGTTGAATTGCGAAGAAGTACTACCTTTTGAAAAGTTCGTTTATACATTTAATTATTTATCTGGAGAGGAACTTCTACCACTTTTAACGCTTTTTTAAATTAATTCATTTACAAGTTTTTTGATATATTGTGCAGGATTTTTGATGAACAAGTATACAACATGTATGGTGACGTAAATGACGAGGAATTGACCAAAATTAAAGAAAAAGGGTTTGCTACGTGGTTAAAAGAATATGTAAGAATTTTTCATCAAATTTCTTATTTATACCCATTTTTAAGATCGATCAAGTATATATTGATATTTAAACAACCTATTTTTTTTTTGTTTTGCAGATTCGAACGTCACACCAGAAGATCATCCATTGTGGTTGCATGAGCTAGTTCAAGGGCCCATTTGTCGTGTTACATGTTGGCCTATATTTTTTACCAGAGGCCAACATTTGTCGTGTTGCATGAGCTAGTTCAAGGGCCCATTTATCGTGTTAAGAGTGTCTAAATATAGAGACAAACTAATTTTATGTATGTACAAATTCATTTTTATGTACATACATAATCAGTTGTTAATGCGTTATTAAAGGTTATGCTATGTTTAAACTACATGTTACAAACATCCCGTAATATACGATTGTAAATCGTATGATATCGGTATACCATATTCGAATGATTTCTACTATTGAACTCCTATATATAGGAGTTTATAAACATGATGTAAGTGTTTGGATGCATCATTTATAGTCCACGCTGGTTATCGTCACGTAACTAGATACATATTCTTACATGTTTAAACATAATCAGTCATGTTAGATGTACTAAATACCATGCCTTATCTATTTACATATGTAAGTAACATGGTTTGTACATACCTCGTGGTTTATGATGTCTAAAACATGTTAACTAAATATGTAAATGGATGGGATCCTTTGTCTTGTGTATTTACATACCCATGTAATGATGACCTACATTATGGATGGTTTGCATAATAGTTACGATTTTAATTTGTATGCTTATATAATAAAATGCTTTATGTATATAACTCTATGACTGACTCAAATATTGTATATATTTGTTCGTATAGATCAAATTACGTATTTTTATATAATTTTATATATGGACACAGACAAGGATTTAAAAACTTGTTTACATGTTATGACTGCCTTTATATATACATGCACTCTATCGTGCAATAGTAATACATGTTTTACAAATGTAATAATATATCACTCTATAGTACCCATAAACCTATAGGGGAGTTAGGAATGCACTCTCAAATTGAGTGCGTCTTACCCCGTACATTTATGATTCCATTATTACCGAATCGACCATGCCCAAACCTCAGCCTGCGCCAGATATCCCTCCACAACCACAAAATCTGCCTCTGCCCACAGATCCGAGCCCTAATACTGCCATCTCCGTGGCTAATCCTTCTCCAGAGGAGAACCCCGCAATTGCTGCAGCTCCCACCGCCGAAACCCTACCCAACTTCCTTCTCCAGGAGGACTTCCCCCCCATTGCCAAGTATGCGTAACGGAGGATCCCCCTCGGTACAATGTCCTTTAGCTTTAACTGAAGCGAAAATATGTCTTCCTACAAACCAGGGGAAGGAAAGCTCTGTTATCCAGCAGAAAACTTTCACCCAACTATGTGCGGTCCCCTCGGAGAGTGGGATCCCGCAACCTTGCCCTCAGGTAGAGAAGCCCCAATTTCCCTGGGCTCAACGCCTCCGAGCAACATCCCGCAACCTCAGCAGACTAGCAACACCAACCTACTCAGTTGATGGTACCCCCAGAATCCGAGTCCCAAGCTCGGTTTTTGTCGAGGCATCTAGAGCCTGGGAAGGATACCTCATTGCTCAGTTCTACGGGATTGCGCCTTCAGCTTCCAAGATCTTCCAATCTCTTAATCCCATCTGGGGAAGAAAGGGAAACATCACAGTAAGGCGTACAGGCGACGCTGGATGCTTGGTATGTATTCCTGACTTAGCAACACGTGAGTGGGTCCTGGAGGTAGGGCTTTGGCGTGTAGCTGATGTAATGTTCACCTTGGTGGAATGGACCCCTGTATCCTCACTCCGCAAACCAGCTCTTAGCTCCGCTCCAATATGGATCACACTCCAAAATATACCGGCTGAAATGTACTCTTTAAAGGGCATCAGCTACATTGCCAGTGACACTGAGAAGATGAGACTAGATCCGTTAACAATCGGAGAAGCAAGAATAAAGGTCGAGGTCCAGCTTGGAGCCGTCCTACCATCCTTGGTTGAGATCGAGGATGACAGAGGTCAGATCATCAAGGTAGAGGTACATTACTCATGGATTCCGCCCCGTTGTTCCAAGTGCAACGAGTTCGGTCACAAGGTAGCACACTGCCTTTCTAAAGGTAACACGCAACTGGGAAAAACTGCTCCCACTGAAAGACCGTCTAAAGTTCAGAGAAGTGAATTGCCAGAGGATACCAGACAACCATTAGACCCCCTGGTTTCTTCTCTTGAGCAGCACATAGCTCAGGAAACCATGCAAACTACCACTCTAGTCCCACCCATTCTTGACCAAACTGCTACATTACCTCACTCCACCCTAGGCCAAACCTCACCAATATCCTCAACCACCCAATCACCTTCACCTACTCCCACCATGCCACCGCTACCTATACCGGCCGAGTCACCAAGCCATACATCAACTCCACCTCCCACAAAAACTTCTATCCTTGTAACTACGCCATCACCCAAAACCTCTGATCAAGGCCTGTCGAGATCTCCAAACCAGGCCAGATTCTCTTTTGAATCAGAAGAGCAGATTGTTCAGGAGGCACAACGCCTCCTACGTTCGCGTTTGGTAATCTGTCCTAAGGACCCTCCTAACCCCAAGGAAGGTAGGAAGGCCCAAAAGGGCAAAGGTCGTGTCAACTAAATAGCCAGGATCCCATGCTTTTTTTGCTTTTGATTTTGTTTGGAACACAAAGGCCAAATGCAGTTGTTTTGTTGGAATGTGCGTGGACTGAATAACACCTCGAAGCAGCGCAATATCAAGTCATGGATTTCATCTCAAGTATATATATATATATATTTTCTTTGTTACAAGAACACCGGAAAACCAATCACTCGTAAATATCTTATATACCGGTTTTGGTATCGTTTATTTTATGGGCCCTTATTGGGCTGAGCCCACTTTGTTAAGTTTGTTCTCTCGTCGGTCAAGATTCTAAAATTCTCATGATGGGCCCTTATTGGGCTGAACCCACTCCGTTAATTATGGATGTTGCGCTCTCTCCGCTTCGGTTTCTCCGAATTCTCCGGTAGAATGCACGGGAATGAATTCACTCGACCCTTATGATTCAGAGGAAATTCAATTCATGGATTTTGGCTACACTGGAATGGGCAGCAAATCTTCCAGTTTCTCCGATCTGGAGCTCGCTTTTCGACATTTGCAGACGAAGCGTTCGTGTGAATTTATCAATGGCAAAGTCACCGGTGAAGTCACCCCAACGCCGCTTCCCATCTAGGGTTTGTCATTCTCCACTCTCTCTCCATCGTCTTTCGGATTTTGATGTCTCGCGTTAAACCTCCAGTCAAGCGTTTCTATTTCCCACTTGATCAGCAAGAGCGGTAGCGGTTTGGTTTTGTTTGGAGACATAAATTGAGACGAAAGTAACTTCAAGAATTTATTGATCCTCATCGGATTTTGCGTTGAAGCGTCTTATTTATGATAGTTGTAACTCACTGTCTCTGTCTGTACCGTAAAACAAAAACAAAAATCCTTAAATGTTGAAGTTGCAGTATAACTTGATGGGTTAACTTTGCATAAACCCACGTGAACTTATGAAAGGAGGAATACTGGAAGTGCTTCTCGTTAATGCTCATGGCATTAAGCACACAAATATTATCGGTAAACTATCTTGAACGAAGAACAATTTCCCCCTGATGTTATTACTTATCGAACTTGTATGTTTTCTTCAAATCTCTTGTTAACAGGAAGGCCGGTGTATTACGTGATCATACAATGTGGGACAAAGGAATGCAGGAGCAAAATTTCAAAAGGTTTGAGTTTGGTCACCTGGGGGCGATTATTGTTTTTCCTAGCAAATGGACGTAAAGAAAGGATTGTGAATTGTAGTGTGTGGTTCTCGTGGAGCAGGTGAATATGACAGCGCGACATGGAACCAAAAGTTTGTGTTTCGGTTCCCCTTATCTCAGTGGAGGAATATGCCCTACATCAAATTCAGAATCATGGACAAGGAGTTCTTCAACGACGGTGGATTTGTTGGTGAAACCATGTAACTGCTTATAGAATGCTCCTAGAATCTTTGAAAAAACTTCAGAGTTTTCTCTGTTTGAAACCTTCTGCACTCCCATGTTAGATATAGTTTTTTAAATATGATTTTCATACCACTTGTGTGTATTTGTGCATCTTCTGAATCAGAATCCATCTTGGTGGGATACTAACTGAAGGAAGCGACAGGGGATACATAGAAGTAATGCCGGCTCCTTACAATGTTGTGCTTGATGATGCTACTTATAAAGGAGAAATTAAAATTGGGTTCAAATTCTTTGCACTTGTAAGTATAACTCTGCATCATGAGTCCCTCCTCCAATGTTCCTATGATTTTAGGTGTGTTAAACAAATTGGAGTCCCTCATGACACCAAGAACATCTTTTCTTAGTGACCCCGGACTTTCGGTTCACCTAATGTGTCAGTTTTAGGTGTTTTAAATATGCCGGAACCCTCATCGGGGAAAATCTAATCTGTGTGAACCAGAGTCTCGGATTCTCCTGTTTTTGGGGCTTTAACATATTACAATGCCGTAAACCATTGAAAATCTGCTCTTTGCAGGAGAAGTTGCAGGGACAACCATGGGAAGCGAACGTAGAAGGAAAAGGCACTAAAGACTCGACAGTTCCACCGATCATGAATATCTGGAAGCTCCCGTTGTTGAAGTTTCTGCTGTATTGCTTCAAGAAATCAGCCAAGTACCGACTCAAGGAGAACTAAGATGATGCTGGTTAGCAACAGAACCCTTTACACGGAAATCAGGTTACAGCTAACATGATCACACCCTTAGCCAACGTATCCTTCTGTTCTGCCCTTTGAAACAAGTTAGAATCGGTAAAATCGCGTTAACTGTATGTTTATGCTGATCGATGTGTGAAGAAAGATCCGGGTAGGGATGGTCATGTTGTAGGATATATTGTCAAGATGCTGAATGAATCTCTATGAGAAATCATCTTAATTTCGGTGGTTTTCCATCGTCTAGGAGCTGTGGCCTTATTTGATTTCTGTGTTTATTGCAGAATATAGGAACATAGGTAGCTGCACGGACGAGGTGTCAATGCAAAAGCTTCACAACCTTAAAGTCCATGGCCACTCTTATTCCCGAAGTCGTCTGCTCAACCTGTTTCTTGCCAACTTCATATATAAACTCAAATCCTTCAAACTTTAACGTTTCTTTATTCAAACAAAATCAGAATTTATTTCCTTTTTGAAAATTGAATCGTATCTGTTACTCGTTTTGTACAAGTTAATGGAGTGCATGCGCACTTTTAAATAGGGAGATTTTCAAAAGAATGTCCATGCGGTTAATGAAATATAAATACACGAGAATACAACAATGAAATATGAAATAATTAGCAAATAGCATTGCTTGATAAACTTGTTTTATAAAAGAATGTAGTGTGTTTATTGGCATGTATCATTAGTTGGCTGGTTGGACAACGGGATACGGCTCGCACGTCTGCATCATGAACTCATTCCCCTCTCATGACATGAAGTCATCATCATGTGCTATTTTAGAGATGGGCATGGGCATGATTGGATTTCATTACTAATAAAAAGTTTCGTCTCTCTCTCTCTCTCGACTGATGCGATCTATTAGCCTCATTTCTATTAAAAAAATGCTGAAAAAAATCATAATATTATATGAGCATCATTGAGGGGCACTTTCTTGGATACTTACTGAGAGAAGGAAGAAAAACCCACTTCGCCATCCTCCATCGGACGGTCCACATTGCTCCGATTTTCTGGTCGCCGGAGAAAGGAGGGAATTATAATTTTAACGTTAAAGCTTCAAACGGTCCAAATTCAAAGAAAAAACTGCAGAATCTTTAAAGGTAAAACGATTAAAGATCGTTGCTTCTTTTTTCTTTATTGCGTTTGAATTTTCAAGTTCCGTTATATCATTTGTTTTCTCTGATTCTGTGTTTTTATATTTACACGCAAGAAAGCTAAAAGTCCGCCTTGTTCACCTCCGAGGTTTTCTTTAGTTCGCTCTCTTCTTACCTCCGCACGCCAAACGGCTTCTGCTTTTTTGCTTTTTGTTTTTTGTTCCTACTTTAATGTTCTCGTCCTTGAAATTTCACTATCCAAACCCAAAAGATTCTCCCGGTTCAAATCTCAGATTCCGGATTCCAAACTTTCCTGATAAATTACAACCGAAGCTTCATACTTCCACAACGTTGCCGTGCTCTTTCCTCCTAAGAGCTGAGACTAAGAGATTGAGCGTTCCAACGCAGTCTTCCACAAAGATGGAGACTTTGTCGAGTTCCGATGAGAACTACGAAGTGGGTTGTCGTCAATCGCCTCGTTCCATCGACCCAAGTGACCAGTCTGCCTCGGGAACTCCCGTTTCCTCGACGGTGAGCTCAGATTCCTTTGTGTGTCCTCGGACATGTTCAGAGACCTCAGGCTTTTCAGACAACATAGATGATACCAACAGCTTCTGCAGTGAACCTTCTCCTTCTGATTGGCCTGTCCTCACCAAATCCAAGTCCGAAACTTACAGTGGGTCAGAAACAGAAATGAAATTGCAGAAGAAGGTGTTGGATGTGAATCTTGCAATTCAAGGAATTGCAGAACCAGGTGCTGTTCTCTCTCTCTCTCTCCCCCCTCTGCAAACTTTTAGGAGCTAAAATGGATTCCGGGGTTTATGCAGAACTGGACATGATGAAGGAAAGGTTCGCAAAGCTTCTGCTTGGGGAAGATATGTCAGGAAGTGGAAAAGGGGTTTGCTCTGCAGTGACAATCTCAAACGCCATAACCAACCTTTACGGTACACGAGCTTTCGGGTTTGAGTCAATATTTACGTTGTCCATCGAGTTTGTGCTGTATCTTCTGATTCATCTATTTTGATGTCACAGCTACTGTTTTTGGACAGAATCTGAGGTTAGAGCCGTTGGATCCGGAGAAAAAGGCATTGTGGAAGAGAGAAATGAACTGTCTTCTCTCTGTATGTGACTACATAGTCGAGCTTATTCCAAGGTCACAGAGTCTAAGCAATGGAGCCACTATTGAGGTGAACTTTCTTGGTTTCTTATAAATTGTTTTTTTTCTTCCAATTTTGGTGAAAGTTTGATATGAACTTCATCTAAAAACTGAAGGCCATGAAAGAAATTGGTGCATGCTGTCTAATACAAGAAACAACTTTTGTGATCTGTGTCTTTCAGGTGATGGAGAACAGACCAAGATCAGACATACACATCAACTTGCCTGCACTGAGAAAACTAGATTCCATGCTGATAGTAAGATCCCTGAAAATAAGAAAGAGCGAGATGAGCTCTCAAACATGTCCCCTGTTTTGGCTCTTTGGACTAATATTGATTCAGAAATATCAACTTAAATTACAAGTGGACTCTGTAATTGCCGTGCTGCAGAAAAAAACTCAAGTCTTCTTTTATCTTCGTCTTCTGCAGGAGACGTTGGACAGTTTCCAGGATACAGAGTTTTGGTACGCAGAAGAAGGCAGCTTATCAATGAAGTCAGTGCGTTCTGCCACCGGATCATTCAGGAAAGTTATTGTTCAAAGGAAGGAAGAGAAATGGTGGTTGCCGGTTCCGCTGGTTCCATCAGAAGGTTTGTCTGAGAAAGCAAGGAAGCATCTGAAGAACAGGAGAGATTGCACCAACCAGATTCACAAAGCCGCCATGGCTATCAACAGCAGCATTCTGGGGGAGATGGACATTCCAGAATCTTACATGGCAGCTCTTCCAAAGGTCGTCTTTAAACAAACAGAAGATATTTTACTGTTGTACTCATCAAGAAGATAAATTTTGACGAATTCCGAAACCATTTGGTTCCAATGCAGTGATCGTTTTGATTTTTTGTTCATCAAGAAACTCAGACGCTTTGAATTTTCATGTCCACAGAACGGTAGGGCCAGTATTGGAGATTCAATCTACCGTTACATGAGCAGCGGAGAAAAGTTCTACCCCGAACAACTCCTTGATCGTCTCAACATGGCATCTGAACACGAAGCGCTTCAGCTAGCAGATCGAATAGAGGTTTCCATGTACACATGGAGACGCAAAGCATGTCTGAGTAACTCCAAATCCTCGTGGAACATGGTGAAAGATCTCATGTCAGGCACATACCACCCAGACAAGAACTACATTTTGGCAGAGAGGGCAGACACTCTACTCTTCTGCTTGAAACAGCGTTTCCCAGAGATGGCTCAGACATCACTAGACATATGCAAGATTCAGTACAACAAGGTAAACACGTGGTTAAAGTCGTCGACTTTTATCGAGATAAGCATTGCCCAGTATCATATTAGAGATAACAAATTCCGGGTTTCCGATATCTTTTGTCTACAGGATGTGGGAAGAGCAGTGTTGGAGAGCTATTCAAGAGTTCTTGAAGGATTGGCTTTCAACATAGTTGCTTGGATTGATGATGTCCTTTACGTTGACAAGAGCATGAGAGGTGAAGAAGTATAGAAACCAGATACGTTAACTTTTGAGATATTATGTCTCTGTTTCTATCTTGTAAATCAGGTGGATGTCAACCAAAATCTGGAATGGCATATGCATAAAAAAAAGAAGAAAATACCGAAATTTTTTCAAACCTCTGACCAGAAATAGCCAAGTATTTTCAGGGGCGAAAACCACTACACATTGGATCAGGGATTTACAGGGGCCACAAGATCAGCATAAAGCTACGAACTTTACTATCCACCGGAGTCCATGAATATCTAGACATTATGAACGCGTGACGCGAAAACCAAGGCCAACTCTCCGAATTATACAAGTTGTTGTTCGGGAAGGAAGTAAAGATGGGATCAATAAGGAATGAAAACGGAGATACATATAGTTCTCGGGATCAGTTTACATAATAAATTGAACTGAGCAAGAACCGGAACCCAATTAATTATCCCTATATATATAATATACACATGGAGGGCTGCGACCGAACGCAAAGGGTTAGAAGTTAAAATACACGCTCTCACTTGGCCAGAACCAGACCGTCAAGGACTGTCCGACGATGCACAGGCAGACAGACCGCCAAAGACTCCTGCGGCTCCAAACCTTCTCAAACCCCTCAAAAAAATGATTGCCGCAAGATACAAATACAGATGACGCTTCTTTCACCGAACATCCATGCTTTTTGCTGTGTTGGTCTCTCTCTCTCTCCAGGTTCTTTGTGTGTGGTCAAAAGTATAAAGGAATCCAAACAGCTCGAATCAGCAGTCCTCGTCCATGGAACCAGCGTAAGTCAGCTCAGTCCGTCTGACCCTCATTGCACCTCTCAGCCAACTGGCTGCTCTTAGATTGGTGTGGTCGCTGTTTGATATACCTGACCCTGTCCCTGTCCCTGTGCCTGTTCCATCTTCAATAAGCATCCACGGGTCTATGTCTGTGCTGTCCAGTTCTTGTTGCTTCAGTTTTGAATGGGCTGTGTTTCCAGTTTTTGGAATGGGAGTTATATTTGAAGAAGCTCCTGGGGTGGATGCTGAAGGGCGCTGAAGCAGCGAGAGTGCGGTAGCAGGAACAGCAAGCGGCTGGCATGAGATATAACACCGTGGTGACGGGAGAAGAATTGGCATCGCAGCTTGGATTCGCCACCTTACAGCATCTGGCAACTGCATCCTCTCCAGCTCATTCTGCATTGGTGTCAACGATAAATGAATTTTATCATCAATCAAGGACATGAATTTTAGGTTCAATGATAAAGTGACAGACCTGCAAACTCTCAGCTACATCACGATCAAACGGAGCAAAATCTTTGGAAGATTCAATTAGGAGCTTTGAGGCTGGCCTTGGGTTAAGCCAACGGGGCTGGTGATTGCTTAATAGCCCATGCAATAAAAACAGAAGCCGGTCAAATAAGGCTTCACTGGAACAATCCGACATTGTCATAGCCATAGCGGGAGGATCTACCCTTGATTCTGCATCTGTACTTGAGAGGTTACTACTACAGTATAAGCGAGGAGTGGAATCTTCATAAACTACTTGGCTTCCTAGCAGCCGTATTATAGTGGACCCAAGTGTCTGTCTTGTGCTTCGACTTGAAGTCTCCCTGAAACGTTTGTCATACATGAAAATTGGCTTAAAACTCTGTTTAGTACAGGGAAAATGAACACAGGAAGAGCTGGTTTAATATAAAATGAAACAACAAAGACCAGACATTACCCCCACATGAGATTTAATCAGAGAAGCACGAAAACAAGTTAATAGAGAAACATGCAGTAGCTGTCTCATAGAAGCAAACAAAAAAAGAAGAAGAAACAGTACCGGCAAATGACAGGCAGTAATCTCAGTAGAAATTGCAACCGCAACGATATAGAGGCCCTCAACGCTGCAGGGGAAGATGGCAAACTCTCGGGAGTTGATAGTTTCTTTGGAATACTGGGACTGCTACTACTACCTCGTATCCCCTTTCGGGTGGTACCTGCTTTATTTGAAGGCACTTCAGACACAGAAGAAATGGTTCCCGGTTGCTTGGTTGAACAACGGCTAGCTGAACTTATCAGCTGTTCAATTTGGCTAAACTGCTTCATCAGCTCATTGAGAAATGCACTCCGAGATGCATCGGAGCTATGATCTATGCATGGAAGAACCATCTGCACAAAAGCCCTCTCTGTTGTTATTTCATGGCTGAGACTGGGATCCTTGTCAGACGTCTTTGTTGAATCCATTCCTTCTTCAACCACTTCTCCCTCTTCAATAGCAGCAGTAATTTCCGACTTCTTTTTCTTCTCTGCCTTATGTGCCATAGAAGGAGCACCACTGGAGTTGCCCCAACCCCAACCCCAAGGCTTCTGACACTGGGGTGGTTTGGTGTGATACTTTCCTCTCTCAACAATTGAAACCAGTTTCTGTCTGATAGTTTTTCGGCCGAAAACAGCATCCTGACCAAGGAGGACCCATTCCGCCTGCTTCAACATCGAATCCTCCACCCACCTCCCTAAAAGATGAACCAACTCTGAGAAAAGCGGTACAGCTTCAGGTCTAACCAATAACCTTGTGAGAATGATTTCAATAAAGGTTTTCTCATGCTCAGAAGCATCAGTCGTTTCAGAGGTAGGACAGGATGATCGTATGGCCTCTGCCAAAGACATGTCATGGTTTTCAAGTTTATCGATCAGTGCTTGCTCGTTCAGAAGTAGCCTGAGTTCAACCCATTGCCAGTTAAACTTTGCAGGTTGCAGGGAATCTAGTACGGACATGAGCTTGTCTTGAAGCTTCGTTCCATTTCCCTGATGCCTGGTTTTTCCTTCACTGCCTCCTCCACCTCCCTGTGAATAAACAGAGGCTGGAATCCTAGAATCGATTATGGCATTCAGGAAAAGACGTGCACGGAGAGGAACAAATGCTACTGATTTCAAGTTCATGTCAAAACCATTCAACTCTATCACCGATGCAAACTCAGCATCAGTGGGATCAGCAACGATAAGATCATAGAGTTCTCGGGTGTCTCTCAAGCACATATCCTGAAAAGGATGGTGTTTTATCGCATCATTGATGGCCATTGTCAAAGACTGATAAAGCCGGTGTGTGTCTTCATGAATGCTGGAGTTACTGATCAGAACAAATGGCCTCCACAGAACAAAGGCTAAAATGGCATAAGCAGGCGGAAAGACAAAATTTAGCGGAAGCATACGTTGCATATGCGATATGGCCACTACCGAAGGCTCACCCACAAGTTCCAAAACAAGCCCTTCAGAAACAGTTCTGCAATTACCAACAAGGAGTCTGAACCAATGCACATAAACTTCAATGGAGTTTTCCACTTTAAAGGCTCCAATAGATCGGGCACTGCCATTAGAACTTGATTTCGTACTCCTTACAAACTGAACAAAATCTAGACGTTCCCTTAGTCTCAGAAGACCCACCATCCTCTCAAGAGTTATAACACCATGGATGATAGCTCCAACCACGAGGGCAGAAACAGCTGCGGTGATTTTTGTTGCTCTGTTGAAGGCTATTTTGCTGGTATTGTTCATCATTTCATTTGCAGGGTTTGCATTTGAATCATGAGATTCAGGAGATGACTGATACTGACTCCGGGTAGCCTTTCCTGTCGTGGGGGCAAAGACCCCAGCAAGAGCTGTGGAACTTTCTGTCGCAAGTGCTATTTCAAATACTCGGCGTTGACGCTCTCCAAGAGTTTCCTTGAGAAGGCAAAGGCATGTTATATGGATATGAAGGATGTATCTAGCAATATTGGATGATGAATGATTCTGATTGTAGTTATAACCAACAGAGAAATCTGAAATCCTCGAAATGGTAGAGCCTGCACTATTTATGATAGCAGAAACAGCTGAGGAAACCAGCGAGGGATCGCCCTCTTGGGCTGCACCACCCGTCTGTCTAATGCAATCCAATAATCCAACTATAATTCTTTGAGCAAACTGATATCCATCATCGACATATTTCTCCGCAAGAGCATCTTTCATCATACCAGAACCTACGAGCTTTGTGAAACAGTGAGAGGCCTCATCAGTATGCCGTCGCACCACATCTCGCATTGCCAAACCCACTCTTGAAAGTCGGGTAACACTTATTTTTTGACGTAAATAGTCATCAGGATTATCTATTCCCACTGGAACCCCGAGGGGAATTCCATACTCCCCATCTGACCGTGTATGATCAAGTTCAGATAGAAGCCTCTTATCACATGTTACTTTGAAGTTCTTTTGCCATTCCACTACACTGGCAAGACTCCCATATCTTTTCAGAAGAGACCGAGCATAAACCAAGGCTGCTGAACTCGAAAGTTTTGCATTACTAGGCGTAATTGCTGCAGCACGGGATGTTAGGGCCGACAAAGCCTCGGGAACAAGATCTGACGCCAGAAGAATATTTTCGTACCTGAAAGAAGTTGATGACACACTACTCAATTCGCTAGAGCAATGGACAGACTGGCATTGCACACGTTACAAACTAGAAAGCAAACGATGGCAGCAGATACAAGTAAAGGAAAAAAAGGTAATTCATGGAAAAAGACAGAAACATAATCATTCCTGTAGATTGGTTGGCAACTAGATGTTCAGGCTTGTCTAAAAACACGACAGCAGAAACAATAAAACATATATCCTAAAGTAAACACTCTTTTCTTTAATTTGTAACGAGTTACGAAAGTCACCTTCGAAGTGATGATACCAAAAACGCTTCGCCCACTTCGCATGCATGGTTCTCAACATTTTTCGGTACAATGAGAAGATTCCTCCCACCCTGAATGGTGAAACTTGGGCTAATGCTGGTTTTCGGCAACAGCCAAAGAAGAAATCTGACAGCTGAAACCAAATCAAGAGAGGTGTCCATCAGATGTATTATGGCAGATAACTCATCCTCGCCAAGCTTCCACCTCGCTGAGCTCCTCTCCTCAACAGGAACACCACCTCTATTGAACTGCCCAACTGTCACAATATTCTTCTCGGTCTCTTCAAGAAGTTGCCGAACTATGGCTGCCAACCAAACAGTAATTGACCTCTTCTCAACAAACCGAAGCTGTTTCAAAGAGTTTCCAATGGACACAACATCCACACTGGCAGAAGTTCTGAACACATCATGATTTTCGCCATCCACGTTAGGGCCATGAGGACAGCATACTTTACTATCACAGACATGACTCGTTGAGGCACCCTGGCTACCTTCAATCCTCGCAGCTTGTAGCTGAGCCAGCGACTGCGTTTTACGCACAGTCTTCTGCCTACCCTTTGTTACTTGCTTAATTGAATTTGCTGGTGGTGGATCAACTTTCAAACAAGTCTCTAATGTACTCGAGCCCTTCCTCATCCACCAGTAGTTATCTTCTTCATCTGATGCTACTGGCGAATGTCCTTTGATGCATGAGCTCTTCTCCTCGTTCAGTTTGGGTTTCTTCGCTCTACTACCATTTTCAAACCCTTGTGTAGCTTCGGCTTGATCCATCTTGCTACAAAAAGATCCTCCAGATCTCTTAACACTGCCTTGAGAATCATCCGGCACAGATTCTGTCATACCAGATGACATATCTGGAAAATGCAGTAAAGCAGATATTAACTCCTTTATTTCTTCAATGTCCACACAGCTTTTGGTCATCATGCCCTTAGTTGTCCTCGACAAACCAACTGAAGCAGAATAATGACGATTATGCTTTAAACTCTGATCTTGCAGAACCACACTATCCATATATTTATTCCTATCAACATGCAGCTCTCGCAAAAGAAGACGCCGTTCATTAGAAAAGGTTTTCACAGCTTCAGTGAGCTTAGCACCTCCTAAGATTCGTGCTTCCTCCAAGGTATCACGGACGAAAACCCCAGGTAGCTGCTTCAATATTCGGTGATGTCTCATTCTCTTTTCTAGTCCAACAACAGATCGAATTGCATCAATCATCCCGCTCACTATTAGCTGTCTCGCATATGCTATGGGATAGAAGATGCCCGAACGTATAAGTTCAAAAACGAGCAGTTGGAGGGGTTTCCCTCCTCGGCCGTGTACCTCATGCTGATCAATCCAACAAACTACAATATCGTGCAAAGGACCTGGGCTTTCCAATACATCTGTCGAGCAGCGAAGAAAAATGTTACGCCGGTTCTTCCGGTGCGACCTAGATTCCGCACCCAAAATCTTTTTTTTCAATAGCTGGATAACTAAATACACCCGAGAATAGTCTTTTCTACCCGTGAACTTGATATCCTTAGGCATGCCAGACTGAAAATCTCTAAAATCACATGTCGCCCATTCAAGAAGGAAAAAGACGGAGCAAACAAAGGATGGATTCATGGACCCAATCCATCTGAGGGATGATCTTAAGCATGGGCTGACTTCAGCAATCCAGGCCTCATCAGCAGCTCCATTAGAGAGGTCTTCAAAGAGGTGACCATAAGCAGTTCCAATATCTCCATCCGAGAGAGCCTTATCCAAGGCCTGAACCGCTTTAGCCACATTATGACGAGGATAACCAGAACTCGCAACCTTTGCAAGATCATTGGCACTTCTTTGGATGATTGAGATGATATAATCAAAAGAAAGGAATTCAAACCGTGAATCAATGCTTCTACCCTGCAACTGAGAAGACACTTCCGAAAAACCACTTTTCAGCTTTTCCAAATTCTCATATGCCTTTGAGGCAAAAATCACGTCATTAGGTCCGTATGCTGCTACTGAAGGAGGGATAGGAAAGCAATCCGAAGCAACGAATGTATCGGGCACAGCAAGTATCAAGTAGCGGACCATCTCAATTAGAGCAGAAAGAGTATATGCTCTTCGAGAATTATCAACAAGATCAGAACCCCCAGGAGCAGGTTCCTGGATGAATCGGACAGCAATTGCCACAAGGCTCTGTATGTAGGTCTGTGAAAGTACAATGCTTTCTAAAATTCCATATACAATAGGCAGTAGCAATTGCAGAATTTCAAAGACTTCCTGTTCCTGAAACAAAGCAAATGGGACAATCAGAAGGCAAAAGAAAGAGAAAAATCCATCTTTGAACCATAGAAACCGAAAGTATAATTCAGAGTACTTACATGAAGAAGTTTCAGAACCCAATCGATGATGAGATTAGGAATAAGAAGCCCTTCTGCATGGTGCCACTGGAGGAGGCGCACCATATACCACCATTTAAAATGTAGAGATGGCTCCTTACCATCAGGAGCAGCTCCAGAGGCTGGACTAATCTTCTGCACTGATCCCGCCGTATAGAGCATCTGTGGTGTCCTATCTTTTGTGTGCTGAGTAGGATATGAGTTATTCCGTGCCAAAAGTTCATCCAAGAGGTATTGCAAATAATCAATAACATCTTTCGTCCACAGCTCACAACGAGCAGACTGTGTCTTGTCAGGTCGCACCTGCAAAATGGAAGCGCAAAATGGTACCCTCCACCACTAAAATAAACCAATTGAAGATGGTCAACCTATGATGGCATACTCTACCTGATTAAGATAGGTCACTTTCACAAACCAAGTAGCTCTCAATAATGGGACATTGTTCCTTATAAGGACTTCAAATAAGGATTTTCTCCTATATCCATGTGGAACATTATCAGCCAAAGAGCGTAGTCGTTTGTGCTGCTGTGATAAACCCTGAAAAAATGATAGCAAGAAATCCCTAAGACCCAAGAAAGGATTTCTTTAGTCTTAGACTTCTAGTCGCTATTCGCTAAGTAAACACATTTCACGAGGAATAGGCTACCGTACGCTGGGTTCATCTAAACTGAATAGTGTTAACAAACATGGATTAACACTGCATCACTAAGGATTCTCAGATTTTAGTACCTCAACCCATTTTTTTCTTGCCTCCTCCCCACAATGTCTTTGTTCTGGAAATCCAGGCTTACATAAAAGCGAACCAGAGAGAGGTACCCCATAAACCTGGCCAGCCTGCCAAAAAAAAGGGTAAGAGTGAGTCCACACAAGCTATAGAATTTAAAATTTTGATTGGGATTAAAGTCAGAGAACCTCTAATACTACCTTGCGCTTTAGCGTACGAGATTCATTAATAGCCCTAAGACATTTTCTGACAGCCTGAAAATAACAGAAATACCATAGCAGGTAAACAGACGAACTCTAAAGAGAGCAAGAGATAAGAATGAAAAAGGAATGTTTGTATACCTCTTTGCACTTTAGGACAACAGGCTTTGAAAAATTGTGAACTTGGCTCAATGTAATCTCTTTAGCCTCCTATATCCGTAGCACATAATAAACTCGAATTAAAAGGACACAAATGAACGAAAAGAAAATGATGAAACATTTGGTACATAAAGCCTCACAAGCTGTTTGCAACCCAACCCATGGAACTGACAAATCTTAGACCAAAGGTAGAATAAACTATTACTAACATTCCTACAAAGCACCTAAGAATGTTCAGCCTCAGTAGAACAGCTCACACCTATTTCTCATCCTGGTCATTTATAGATCTAGGATGAGACAAATATATACATATATATATATATACTGTATATGTGAAAAAAATATTAGTTGAGATTTTGCAGAGCCGAGGTTGCATTGATTTGGAAGGACAATCAAATTTGAATGATTGGAGGAACGCACCTCAAGTCCCTCAACAGTTTCCTTGTATCCAAACTGTACATACTCTTTGGTCAGATTCTCCTCAGGGGAATCAGATGTCGGAGGATGAAAATCTGGTGGCCCTAGTCTGTGATGTTACGAGGCAAAAGTAAAACCTCTAGCAAAGTACAAGTAAATCAAGAATGGAGATGAATGGCCAACTTACTGCACCAACACACTCCCCATTGCATAAATCATAAGGCAATATAACATAAAGAGTAGGCTCCCTAGCATATAACACAAACCGACCCGGTTGTAAAGGAGAAGACTGTGAACACAAACTGACAAAACACAAATGGGTGCAGCTGAAAACTAAACCAATGGTGGTAAAGTCACAGAGGAATTACCTGGAATTCAGGCCATTCTTTTCACACTTCAACTTGTAGGGTGTTAACGGGGGAGACCTCCTGCAGCAAAACAGTACAAAAGATGTCACTGAGTGTATAATCAACATATAAACCACTGTATAGCTTCATTCTAACAACATCCCTGGAATTTAAAGAGTGGTTTCCAATTGAAGAGGCATCAGCTCGTCCTGTGTCCCTAGCGGATGCACCACCTATCGCATTATTGTTGACTGCACTAGTGCAGCTGGCAGCATGATACCTTTGCATATCTCCAAACTATAGCCGGCATACTGGTACTAACATCAACCCACCAGAATAAATCCTAAACCTAAATCACATTCTAGTACCATAAGGAATTTTTTTTCATGGACTTTCACTTTGATTTTGCATTCTCCCCTTGCAGTACAAAATAATGTATTCATGGTCAGAAGCCCATCGATAGAAGTAAACCGTCGAATGTAGAATCGCCCAGTCTCAAAATTAACAACAGATGCCAATGCAAGCAGGTCTTGACTTGTTAGAAGACCTAGCACTGGAACAGTAAGGACAGTATCATAATAAGAATATGGTATCATAAGAAAGAAAAAAAAAACAGGAATGAGGAGATTTAAGATACATCCAATCGATTTTATTTTAACTTTAATATGACCTCCAAGGGCTTGACAAGGCTCGGCTCTGATTCTTCGGTAACAGGAGAAAACATTACATATGAAATCCAGTTGGTTGAAATCACATCACAGTTAGATTCTAAAGAAGAGCTCACGAATGTCCTAAAACCTAATCCATCTAACTAGGTATGGCATTCCCCTCCAAGATGCAACACTTCGACTGAAATTCAAAACATAACGAGAAGCAGATCAACTATCTTAACTATTTTTCATCCCTGAGCACATGATATAATGACAAACAAAGACGGACTTGAGTAAATAACGCAATCAAGAAAACAGATAGAAACAAAGATCATCAGGGTAGAATAAATTATCGAGAACCAGAATAGTGAGGCAGACATGAAAGTTTGGAAGTTCAAATTTATGAAGTAAAAAAAAAAACTGAAAAGAGGGTTTATGGATCATTATACCAAACATTGCTATTCACAATTCACATCACACAAAACGGCTAGCTAGCTAACATAAAAGACGAAAAAACGATCAAAGTAGAAAGCTTTAGAACAACGAATCCAAACAGAAGCCGAATAAATGATCTCAAACGACATCGTTCACCGGAATCGAGCTATCAAACAATCACCATAATCCAATTGCCAAATCGAAGGAAGAAAACATAAACTAGGGTTTCTAATAGACAACTAACCGTCAGGAGCTCATTTCCCAGATGACCCACAATCCGGTTCTGAAACCCGAACCAAAGCTAGGGTTTTGACAACAAATACTGCGAATTCGAGCCCAACCCTGATGGGGCAAACTCAAAGAACCGGAGATTCTCCGAACCAAGGGAGAGATGATAACTAAGCAGGAAGAAAGTTACGAACTTTGAAGAAATCGGGCTCCCTGTAGGAAAATTTAGAGAGAAAAAGGCAAGAGATTCAGAGAGGGAACGCGGTATACAAAAACAAGAAAGCCCAGAAGAAGAAGAGCCTCGGATTTCGGGAACTTTGACTGTTTTCCCCTCTTCTGCACTTTTTCTTAGGTGATGACGAACGAATGTTGCTGTGTAAATCTTTTTGGATATTGGTTTACGTAATTTGGGTCAGTATTGTTTCCGTGCTGAAGGAAGAGAGACGAAGCAACAACGGCAAGAAGAAGAGCAGCAAGAAACTCGTCGATCGATCCCAATTCCCAACTAACGCGCATCGCTCTGGTAAGAAAATCTTAACCTTTAGGCAAATATTACCCGTTTTGCCCATCGCATGTTGTCCCATAAGTTTCGTATGTATGGGGGCTTAATGGTAAAAATACCTAATAAGAGTGTAGCGTGAACATGATGGTGGCGGATACGAGGGTTTTCTACTCGGTTTTCTTGACTCTACCGAGGAAGACCCTGGTGGTTGGCTCTCTTCAAGACATGCCTGTAGAAGAACCATATTAGAAAAAGATTTTCAAGCCTTTAAGTTGCTTCTTATCAAAATTCACATAGGAAACCATATTCAAGCTGTGGTCCAGGAATTAAGTGCCTGTTTCGAGATTTCACATTCCTTCAGCCCACCATGATCTTCAACTATGAAAATGCCATCAACAATCTGGTTGCTCTTGTACATGGATGGGCTATCTTGGCCAGATAACACGCTGGAGTTTGCATCCTCTTCCTCTGGAGTTCTTTCAATTTCTTCGTCAATTATGACATCTTCTGCAGAATCTCGAAGAATGATGGCTTATTTTGACATTTACAGTATTCCCAATATTATTTGTTCGCTGTTTGTCAGAATGAACAAGAAAACTCGACAATGGGAAAAAATAAACGAGAACAAAGTATCAGTACCTGAAGAAATTTTGTCTTCCATTTGAGTTTCATCCTCTTTATCAACATTTTCTTCAGTAAGTTCACTAGTGGCTGGTTGAAGAGACTCGATACAACTGTCAGGGTTGTTAAAATGGTGCAGCTGAAGTTCAGCATTTTCCATGGCATGACCTGGTGGGCTCTCATAAGATTCTTTCTTGTTTCCTTCAGGGAAAGAAACGGATTGATTTGTGAATGTATTTCAACGAGGAGGGAAACATAACATTGATATTCTATATTGTTGTTGTTGTCAACTGTCTTAGTTATGAAATTTTTTAAATATTTTTAAAACCCAACAACGTACTTATATATATATATATATAATAAAAGTACGTACTTATTTGGATGCCGAAAGAAATACGATATCCAAATATACCTATAGATTCCCAACTAGTTTACGCAGTCCATGCATATGGTGCGAACATGGACGTATATGTATTCTCTAAGCCTGCTCAGTGTCTAATTTCCGAAATTCCTGACGGGTAAAAATGGGATCCACGAGCGGTGAGGAAATAGAGTTTTCCTTCTTTCCTTTCGTTTGTATATATATCGTTGCTTGGAATATAAGGACTGCATTTTTTTCGTACAGTAGCGTATGTTAATTGTATCTTTCTATGTGGGAATATCAGTAATATAAGGCCTATTCAAATACATTATTACATATCCGAGCCCGAGGCATGTGGTTTCCCCCTGTTTTTGACCACAAAAAGTCAAACCGGAGGAGAGCACAGCATAACCTAAACCACATGGCAAATGCTGAAGACTAATAAGTGAGACAACAAAAAGAAAGAAGGAAAAAAGAAACCCAAGAAGAACATCTCTCTCTCTATCACACACACACACACAGAGACACACAGACAAAGAAATCTTACATGTCCTGAAAAGAGGCAGAATGCTCTCTGTCTCTGAAGGTGGATTTTGAAGTGACCCACATCAAGCAAGAACCTTTATGGGTCTTGATCTCCACTCGCTCTCTCGGTTTGTTTCAGCCACCTGCTCTAGCCGTTATTATTGGTGTAATGTAATGTTGGAGCGTTCTGTGCTCATGAAGTTAGCAATGACAGTGCTGAAGAGGAGCTTGCCCTTATCCTCGCCCGGGACTAGATTCAACAAGGGTTGTGAGTAGACGTAAAATTCTTGTTCATCTCTATGGGACGGGGAGGACACTTTCGTCGTCCTTTACCTCGGCCAGAACCAGGGTTTCATCAGTGTTCATACAGTTGAGTATGAGTTCTTCTAGTAATTCATTGAGAATCAGTTCGCCAGTCTCAGTGCCAATGCTGTCAGTGTCCTCTCTGGTATCTAACCAGTTTCCAGCTCTAGCCATGTCTTTCCTGACTATTTGTTCTAATGCACGAGGAAGTGGTAACTGTAGAAGATTCCAATAAACCGCTTCTTGAACCTCATGAATGATGCTTTTGACGCTAGAGAAGACTCGGGTTCTGGGTTTATAGAACGAAACCCATGGAGGACAACTGCAGAAATCCAAGAGAACTTCATTGATGCAGTCAAAGAGCAGCTCATGATCAGAACAGAGCTGGTTTGGATAGAACAGTACGTTGCTGATCAACACTGGTTCCAGAAGTTGATCTGAAGTTTGCGACTTCAGATACAGCTCTTCCCAATCCGAGTCTACTGCATCCAAAACGGCTTTGACATACTTAAACACCAGATCTTTGTCATCCTTTACAGTTTTCACACAGTTCTCTTGATTTCCAGCTGCAGAATCATTTTCTTCGAATTGGATACAATATGGTTGCACTAGTGCTTCACCTGAATCATTAGAGATGAATCAATGTAGGCTCGTGATGAAGACCTGACTACCAGTATACAAGCCCAGCAGGTATTTGATCGTTCTTACATACCTGAGCATGACCGCATTCTTGCCGGGCTTATATCATCTTCAACGAACAACGGCTCAAGAACAGAAACGGGACTTGACCACTCTGGCAAATCAAGAGCACTTGATTTGGGTTCCTCAGTTTTAGCTAAAGAGTTAGACAGTGACTCTACCGAGGAAGACCCTGGTGGTTGGCTCTCTTCAAGACATGCCTGTAGAAGAACCATATTAGAAAAAGATTTTCAAGCCTTTAAGTTGCTTCTTATCAAAATTCACATAGGAAACCATATTCAAGCTGTGGTCCAGGAATTAAGTGCCTGTTTCGAGATTTCACATTCCTTCAGCCCACCATGATCTTCAACTATGAAAATGCCATCAACAATCTGGTTGCTCTTGTACATGGATGGGCTATCTTGGCCAGATAACACGCTGGAGTTTGCATCCTCTTCCTCTGGAGTTCTTTCAATTTCTTCGTCAATTATGACATCTTCTGCAGAATCTCGAAGAATGATGGCTTATTTTGACATTTACAGTATTCCCAATATTATTTGTTCGCTGTTTGTCAGAATGAACAAGAAAACTCGACAATGGGAAAAAATAAACGAGAACAAAGTATCAGTACCTGAAGAAATTTTGTCTTCCATTTGAGTTTCATCCTCTTTATCAACATTTTCTTCAGTAAGTTCACTAGTGGCTGGTTGAAGAGACTCGATACAACTGTCAGGGTTGTTAAAATGGTGCAGCTGAAGTTCAGCATTTTCCATGGCATGACCTGGTGGGCTCTCATAAGATTCTTTCTTGTTTCCTTCAACACTTGGGAAATCCGCCGAAGCAGATCTCCTATGCACAGTTGAAGATATTTGCTTTTGTCTTCTTCCTGGGCTGCCATGAGGAGACAAATATTCAGGAAGAGAGAGTATCCTTCCGAGGGTTCTCTGAATCTGTTTATTTGTTGAGGTCGGATCCGGATCTCCATTGTTCAACATCTCCGACAGATGTTTCTTGGCCTCGATATAAATATTAGACACCCTTTGCTTTTTGTCAACCTTCTCATGTTTTTGTAAAACTTTAGGTGGTTTCTTTTCAGTCATTGAAGGCCTTGCCATCCGTTCAATAAAGAAATGATCTTTAGTTGGCACACTCTTCCGAAACCCCTCTCCAGATCTGCCATCACGTGGCGGTACCTGATGCTCCTTTCTGATTGCTTGTTTCAGCTTCCTCTTGATCTCAGAGAGAAAGAAATGTGAACTGATCCTTTCATTTTGCACCTTGTTTCTCATCAGAGTTGGTCCAGGTGGTGGACTGTGATTATTCTCCCTTTCTGGACTTAACAAGCTCGCTGGTCCGGGCTTCAGAATGATGATTCTCTCTGAAGATTCACATTCGTTATGATTAAATCTTTCTTGTCTGTCCTTCAGTCTGAAAAGGCTAGACTGTTTCTTACCAGCTGGCGAATTGGATTGCTCTGATGCATTGGATTTCTCAAACAAAGTTGGATTTTCTTCTTCTTTGTCACTTTGACGGTTTTGTAAATCTTGAACATCTCTTGGCACAAGTAAATCTGGATCTTGCAAAAGCTTGAGAAACAATTCCTCATCTGAACCCAGGATCTGAAACACTTCCATCAAATCTTTAGATGTAAGGATTTCACTATCTTCTCTGGGACGGGTGCCGTGTAAAAGCTTCTGACTAATTAAAAACTTGACCAGTTCCCTCAGTCTTTCTTTATAGTCTTCGTGACTCTGGTTCAGCTTCTTTTTCTTCATGCGGCTTCTATTTCTGTGATGAATCTCACAACAAAACTCTTCGATCATATTGTCAATGTCAAGACTGCTCATAGACTGACGATGCTTCTGATTACTACAACTAACATCAAGCTCTGCATTGTCAAAGACATTTATGTGGCCAAAGTTGCTGCAGCTTTTCCCACGAGTCTTGTTTATTCTCCTTTGGTTCTTCCTTCTACAGCTTTCTATCTCAGAGTCTGATACCTGTCCTTCACAATTGTCCCTCTCCTTTATTTCTCTGTCAATGAACAGCTCTTGTTCTATAAGTTTCTTCACACTTGGCTTGATAACCGTTATCGTGACATTTCTTTCTCCACCAACCTTAAACAGAAAGAAACCACCAGATCAGTTTAGATAAGAGCTTGAGACCGCTGAATTTTCACTTTTTCTCGGAAAACAAGATTGAAAAACTCACAACGGTTTCTTGAGAACCCTTGTCGCAACATTCAGGCTTGTCAGGCTCATCGTTCCTAGGATTTCCTGAAGCTGGAAACACAACCGTCAAACAATCATTTCAAATCCAACACAACAGAAATGATGAAGATGGGGAAACTTAGACCTGTGTTCTTTCCAGAAACACGTTTGGTTCCATCCCTTCGGTCTACCAGCAGCTTATGTGCATACCGTCCATGGCGGAAATTAAACATACTGATAAATCCCGACATGCAGCCTAACTGATCTCTTTCATGCCGGGCAGCACGTCGTTGAATTTTCTTTGCCATGGTTTTTTATGACATTCAGTTTAGTATTTTCCTTTTCTAATTTTTCCCTCTTTTATCGACTTGAGTAGAGCCTGTAAGAACAAAGAAAAATTATCCAAGTGTGACGGATAAATAAAATAGCTATGAACCAGGGAACATCACCTAGAATTATAAATACGAGCTCAGATTGACAAAAGAGAAGTCAGGAACATGGTACTCATGGATGAATTCTTAACTGTCACAGACCCTTCAGAAACAATCAACAGAGAAATGCAAAAAAAAATTCCCAATGAGACTTACTAGGAAAGGTAAAAAGAAATCCTTGCGAGACACTGCAGTGGCACTCTTCGGCAAGAAAAACTAACTTGACAAGTAAAGGATCCAGTACCCCAGTCCGAAGCAAACTCCTAAAATCTAACCATTTTTAATCTATAGGTAATGGTGATTAGGAAAATATTTGTTACCAAATGCAAGAAAGAAACACAAACTTGGGATCTCCGTACATATGGACATACACAAAGAGAAACGCCCAAATGAGTCCACTGCAAAGATGCCAAAACTAGTGTAGCAAATCTGATTACTTTCCCTTTGAAAGGGACCACAGAAAAAAATACAAGCAATAAAAAGACGTTTAAAGGAGTACCTAAAATTCTTCTGACATCCTTTGATTCCAAACTTCCAAGAAAAGGAACAGTGGTTGTAGCTGTAACTGGTCAATACATATGTATGTACATATGTATATGGATAAAAAGATTCCAAGGTAAGTAAGAAAAGAAGAACAAAACCCTAGAAATCTAAAAGCTGTTGCGCCAAAACTAATGCTCAAGCTATTTCGAAAGCTTTCTTTTGATGCCAAGACACAAAGATGATCTCTTTCCACCTCAAGAGACCCTGAACCAGCGCCAAGCTTTAGCCAGCGATGAAACGGGGAAGGGATGAAAAAGAAATTGATATTTCTTTGAAGCCAAGGTGTGAAAGAAGACGTCAAAAGTTAAGCTAAGCAAATGAATCCCTGAAGCATGATTCAAGCTTGTAAACTTCAAACAGAGGACAAGCATATAACTCTTATGTTGGAATCTTCAGCCATATTGTTGATCTGACAACTTTTCCAGGTTTGGGAAGCTTTGGGATCGTGGGATGATTTTGGGGGAAAGGCAAAAGCGTTTATTTTGGAAACAGAAAAAAAAAACATATAGCTTCAGTTTCTAGAGTTCATGAAAAATCCAGAGGGAAAAAAACTATTAGTAGGAAGAGATCTCCGTTGAGAAAAACTCAGAGATCTAATGTCAAAAAATGATTCAACAAAAAATTTCTACTGTTCAACATTCAAATAGGGAAAAGAATACTCCTTTTTTCTATGGTGGGCATCTATCTTTTGACAAGAACAGAGAGAGAGGAAGAAGTAAAAGTTGAAGCTTTATTACAATTTTACAACCACAATGGCGTTGGTCTTGGCTCCACAGAGAAAAAGGAAGAACACAGTTTGGAAAATCTTTCACATGGGCCCATCTCTCTCTAGAGAGAGAGAGAGAGAGAGAGAGAGAGAGAGAGAGAGAGAGGCTTTGCAGAGAAGAAAAGTCTATGCTCTGCAGATTTCAACAGCCACCATCATCAACCTCACCAGTAACCTCTCTCTCTAGCTCTGAAATTGAGAGATGGCACCGAGGAGGCTGCATGATGATTGGAGCTGCTGAAGGAGGGGGGAAATGAAATGAACAGTGGGAGAGTAAACATAACCAAAATGCGAGGGGTCGAAATGCAAATGTTGCAAAATACTAAAGGGGAAGAAACTGTAATTAAATCGAACCGCTGTTGCGGTTCTAGGGAATGGATCACACGTAACTATTAAACATACCAATATTCTCACACGCTTAGGAAATGGATTACACGTAACCATTAAAAACACAACATATTCTCACATGCTTAATCGATCGACCACTTCTCTAATCCGTGAAAACTCACCACGTAAAGAACTCTCTAGTACTCAAATCACTATATTACATATGATTGAAAAACGTTACATGATCTATATATTTTTTAAAGTTTTTTTAATATCATAACATTGGAACGTAAAGTATTTGAATAATAGTAATACTTTCGCATATTTAAAAAATTATTTCCAAAACCAAACTCCTAAATATTAAGGGGTAAAAACAAATATAATTAGATGTCATTAAAGAAAGAAAAGGTCCACAAGAGACAATAATTTGATCGCTTTGTCTGATTCATAGGTGGCATCAAAGCAAAAAGCAAAACGATATGTTAAATCAAAATCAACCGACATTGGCCACGAGCTCTTTTGGGTTTGTTTCAAGCAAATAACTAAATGCCTTGATTGTATTTTAGTTGGGACCATAATGTATACACGTTCATAAAAATGCGCGTGTGTGTGTATGTAGTAGTGCATGTGTAAATCTTCACAAATAAGAATCTACCACGGAGTTCGTAAATTTGGAACCTACCGACCGACAAAACTGATATGGACATATGACTAGATGGCCTTTAAGAATGTTAGCAGTGACATGCTACGTGAGGTTCACAGTGAAGCAAAAACCTAGACCTAAATAAATACTTCTATAAACAAAATAAAATTAAATCCTTATATTAAAAAAATAACATTTTAAAAGAATTATTTAATTGATACCAAAAAATTTTTAACAAAAACATTTGTATTTCACGGATTTTAAATTGAATTTTGAGACACGAGAGAGTCAATCAAATATCTTTGGTCCGCCTAACTTCCTTGCCCTCTAAACTCTATTCCGTTACGTAACCAAACGAGAGACTCGGGGATTGGTACAAAGTGAAGTGATTCTTGCGTCTCATCATATATCATCTCCCAAAAAATCTGTTCCCGTGAAGACCCCTAAATTCTATTATGACTCATATCTAGAACTTGATTCTAGTGCCAATGATACCAACCATCATACTGAACCTACGAGTTCATTTTCTCACAAATATATATATATATAGAGAGAGATGAACCTCATTGTAATACCCCGATTCCCGAATAATTTATTTAAATTAACTCCGAGAATAAAATAGGGTAAGACAAGTCTAAAATATAAGGTGATTGGCATAAGATTCGAACTAAGGGATCAACGGGACTCGAACGCGTCGAAAACGACGAAAAAACAGTACAGAACGGACGGACCAGAAGGTGGAACGGACGGACTGCCGTTCGCCAAGCGAGACTGCCCGTTCGCGAAGCGGAACGGACGGACCAGAAGGTAGAACGGACGGACTGCCCGTTCGCAAAGCGGAACGGACGGACCAGCAGGTAGAACGGACGGACTGCACGTTCGCGAAGCGGAACGGACGGTCCAACACCAGAACGGACGGTCTGAGGGTTTGGGAAAAAGTCGCCGAAAATCCTGACTTTCTTCCATTTTCGGCCGCGATTTTCTCGCGACACACCGACCCCACGCGTGAACGAACACCACCCAGACGCAGTGGACGACACCCTCTGGCCCTCCTACCCTATCCCTAGCTCCTATGGCGGCGTTAGAGGTCGATTTAACCGGCTCCAACAGGTGAAGATCACCATTCTGTAACCCAGAACCTGTTCTTCGAAAACAGAGAAAAATAGAGAGATTCAGGGAGATTTGAGGCGGAGCAAGTTCGGGAAATCAAAGTAGGACATCCCAAGGAGGTTCTTGGAAAGTTTCACAACCAAAGACGGCCTGAAGAACACACACGAGCTCGGACAAAAACGCACAGCACTTGAATCCGAGGTGAGTGGTTCGGATTGAGTTTGAGAGATTCTATTTTCATGATTTATGGTGTAGACTAGTGATTCTGCAAGAGTTAAGCACCTAGGGATGTTAAGTATTGAGTGAGTAGCGATTAGATCTTAAATCCGATCAGAATTTGGGCAAAAATGGTGAAAAATCGGACTGAAATCGTGAGGAAGACGAAGTTCTGGGTCCCAGACCGTCCGGTCTACGGACGTAGACCGTCCGTTCTGGGACTCAGCAGAACGAACGTGTAGAAACAAACTAGAACGACTGATCCCACAGAACTCGGAACGTCCGGTCTAGAAAATAACTGAGAACGGACGGTCTGGTTAACTAGAACGCCCGTTCTGGACCTTATAAAACGGACGGTCCGAAGAAAACCAGATTGTTCGCTCTATCCTCGTGGAACGGACGTTCTGCCCTGTAGAACGGACGGTCTGCCTGTAGAACGGACGGTCTAGGCACTTTGACGGAGCGTGTTGGCCGCAACCCCGACTATAGACTCAAATGGATTAAACGGTGATACGGTGAAAAATGGTATTTAAACGAAATAGGATAAAATAAGGATGAACGAACGAAAAAAAAAAAGAGAGGTAAAAGTAAATAGAAGAAAGGAATTAAACCGAATGGGCACGAAGGGTAAATTTAAGAGAAGTACTCGAAATTTGCGATTTAGAAATAACGGATAAATAATTATGGTGATGCATGTGATTGAATGATTAAGGCACCCCGTACTTAGTACCGGTTGACGGCGTGAGTCAGTGCTAGTACGGGGATGTGCGGATTTGGAATCAGTGCCGGTTGACGAACTTGGAGTCAGCACTGGATGTTGTGTGGTTTCGATAATAGTACCGGTTGACGAACTTGGAGTCAGTACTATTACCGAAATGGAATACCAGTACCGGTTGACGATGTGGAGTCAGTACTGGTATGGTTGGGTGGACGTTTCTGGAACGGTACCGGTTGACGAACTTGGAGTCAGTACCGTTAAGGAAATGTATAGTGAAGCCAGTACCGGTTGACGGCGTGGAGTCAGTACTGGTGGATCTGAGTGGTCGTCTTTATGATAGTACCGGTTGACGGCGTGGAGTCAGTACTATTATAGGGAAGCAGGGTAAAGTCTAGTACCGGTAGACGAATTGAGTCAGTACTAGATGATACCGAAAGGAACGGTACCTGATAGTGCCGGTGGACGACTTGAGTCAGTACTATCAGGTATCGAAAAATGTGTGAAATAATGGTAATGTATCAAGGAAGATAAATGATAAAGGGTTAAATGGATAAAAATGAATTCTTGTATTGAGAGACCAGTCGGCACCGTTCTCCATGAGAATGGGCTCTCCGGGCTTAACCCGAGCTGCTCACTAAGCTTTTGCTTAGCCCTCCGTTGTTGAATTTTTTTCAGATCCCGAGGAGCACGAGTAGCGCACAGTGGACGACGACAACTTGTGAAGACATCATTTATGTACGGCTAATTAATCCTGTTTTTGTACGTTTGGGTTTGTGGAACAAGGATTTGTGTGGAATGGTGTGTTTAATTGTGTGTTTGGACAAGTGTGGTTTCCAAGAAACGTGTGATGGTTTTATCCCGCTGCGTACTTTTATGTAAAAATGATTTTTAATTTCCCGTGTTTTTGGATTTATTATATTTTATCGGTATTTGTCCATGTGGCATATCCTGTATACGGGATGCGGGATTCGGGTGTCACAAACCCCGACATCTATCTGTCTCCCGAGTCTATCCTAACTGCCCCGAGACTAACCTTGAGTCATACTAGCAAAACCTAACTCTTGATCCCCAAAGAGATCAAACAACCTATGAGCTCTATCTCGTACCGCACCTACTGACTAGGATGCCCCCACGGGTTTTACCTCCTGAAGACTTCCCTAGTCGATCTATAGGAACTCTACCAAAGGCTCGGAACATGTGCGTGCACGTGCTCCTCCCCGAGAGGAAGTGTCCCTAGTGCTACTACTCTCACCGACTCTATCCGGTGACCCGACACTTCCTAGCTCGCCCCTTCCCATGAACTTCTTACCCGAGGTAACTCCACCTTGACGTGGAGATCTCACCTCCGAACCTCCACCCGATGAATAGTCGGAGCATACTAAAAGTACCTCCGAGTCATACTCCTAAACCGAGGCTACTACCCCTTTACCCTCGGTCTTCTCATTCGCCTTCCGGGACCTACACTCCTTCTTATAATGTCTCTTCTTCCCAGAATACCAATACTCCATCTGGTCATTGGCCTTCTTCTTCCCGCCACCCAATTTATCGGGTTCGTCCTTGACCACTGATCCGTCCCCCGTACCTCGATTAAGGGTACCCTGAGCTAGAAGCTCTAGCTCTTTCATCCTAGTCGACGCTTTCACCTCCTCGACGAAAATTGAGGCTCAGAAATGCTTGAGGACCTCTCGGAGCTACTCGTAAGCAGGAGGCAAGGAGTTAAGCAGATAGACCGCTTGGTACTTCTCATCAACCTTCAATTAAGGTTGTGAAGGTCCGGCAATAGATTACAGAAAATGTCTAAATTATCCTCTATCATTCTTGAGGGATCCATCTTGTATCCTGAGATCCTCTGCATCAGGTACATCCTATTTGGGAGAGATGGCTCTATATGCAACCGTTCTAGCTTCCTCCAGATTTTGAAGGTCGTCCTTTCGGATATGACCTTTCTTAGAACCTAATCCGCTAGACACAACATTATGAGATTCCTAGCCCTTCTACTTCTTTCTTGTCTCTCTTTGAGACCCGGAATACCCGATCCCTTTTCCTCCGGTCTTAATGACCCGGTGGAAAGGGTCGTTAGGCCTCCCGAATCCTCAGTTTCCCAAGTTAGAGTTTTTGGGCTCCCCTCACCAGCATTCTCCCAAGAGGATGGATCATCCTCTAACGTGTCACCTAGCCCTAGTATCTCAAGGCTTATGGCCATCTTCTCCTTCCATAAGGAGAAGTCACCCTTGTCGTCGAACTTCTCGACGTCAAGGCGCTGCATTTGTGCAGACATCGCTAAAGAAACCTACCTCCT